TGCCCTCAGCAGCGCCCTGCTCCCTGCACGACCGCACGCGCTAGCACCTTGCCTCTCAGCGCCAGCAGCAGCCCACGAGCGTCCGCTCCAGCAGCGCTGCCGCCGGCATGCAAGTGCTGAATGCCTTGCCAGGCAGCGAGCTCTTTCCTATATGGAAAGAGCCTGCCTCTCTCGGCGGCCTGGCTGGCCTGGGCCTTTGCCCAGAAGCTTCCAGTAGGCCCCAGGAGGCTGGGCCTCCGATGCTGCTGCTGGGCCTCCGTTCGGTTGGGCCTTCCAACTGCCTGTGTATGAGGCTGCGATTCTCGCCCAGGGCCTGCATTTTCGGAAAGGCCTGGAAGGCTGTGGAATGTCTTGCTGCTCGGCCTGTGTTTTCTCTCAATTAACTGGCGCGTCGAAACTGCCTGGACCCCAATTACGAAATTGACAGCGGAGGGCCTCTCGCGATTTGTTAGGCCCGCCTTCACTTAGGGCGGGCACATCTGCAGCAGGGGGCCCTTAGGCCTGCCGAGGACCCAGGATCCTTGCAGAAGAATGATAAAAAAGAATGGTCATCTTGTGTATTTTATCGTTTGGTTCACAAAGTGCACTCTTTTTTTTTTTTTCTTTTAGAAAAACACTGCCTTCTCCTAATATGGGAGGACAGCTGTATTATTTACTACTATATATTATTCTCTCAATGTTATGTCAGCCTCCCACTAGCTACCTAACAGCCACCACTCACGAGCCCCAAATCGAGCTGAACCTATATACCAAGCACATAGAATGGAACGCTGAAAGTTACAGGTAATGGCCCCGGGTAATCCCCCTAAGGGACTCCCGCCTGCCTATCCCTTCGAGGTTTAGCCTATCCCCTCAGGGTTGAACCTAACCCCTAGTGATGGATGGGAGGGACGAAGAAATAGCCCCTACCAAGACCAACCAGGAGGGGCAAGCCAATTATCTCTCAGCTGGTGAACCCCAAGCGCGCCAGAGGGGCCGTGGGGAGTCAAATGGATAACGTCGGAATCGACCCCACGACCTCCTGAATGCCACTTATGTGCTCTACCAACTGAGCTAGGCCGCTGGCCCTCAAAGTGCAATCTTTTAGTTCATAGATATGTGACAATACACCTGCCAGGTTGGATATTAATTTTATAACCAATACTCAATGAGAAAGATAGCAAGCCTCTCCCCGCCCCCCCCCCACAAAACAAACAAACAAAAAAAGCATGCCACTCCCCGAGGTCAAAAATAATGGGAAAGAGACTCAACAGATATTCACAAATTCAATGAGGAAAATAGAACTCCTACGTTACTGTGTTGCTCGTCCTGGACCGCTCTGGACTAAGCCATCATCTGCGAATCAGGTCCCGTGAGACCAACAGAGGGAACTCAATAAACTCAGCCTAACAACAGAAGCGCTCCACACCCATCACCAAGAAACAAAGAAAAAGGAATCATTTGCCTGGTTCGGTGCAACCCGGCATCAAGTTCACCCAGATGGTCATCTGGGCCCACATGTCCAAATCAGCAGCATTCAGAAAATCCAGGGCCAGCTGGGCAGTTAGTCTTAACTAAGGAGAACTGAGGAAAACAAAGGAAAACCACGGAAAATTGAGGAAAACTTCAAACCTGAGCAAAACTAAGCAAAACTGAGGGAAAACTGAGGAAAACTGGGGGAAACTGGGGGAAACTCACGAAAACTGAGGAAAACTAACAAAAACTTAGGGAAAACTGAGCAAACCTCAGAAAAACTGAGTGAGACTGAGGCAACAGTACAAGAATGCGACACAAGTCAGTGTTTACCTGGTGACCACTATGCGACCGTACCTGAGGACGTTTAGCATGTTTACTGAGAAAAACTGACGAAAACTGATGCAGAACGGACAAAAACTGGGGAAAACTGAGGAGACAGTACCACAATGCAACATACATCATTGTTTTACATAGTGGCCGCTACAAGAAGACCACGTTCTGAGAACCATGGTCCTCATACCTTGTGCATCTTTAACATTATCAGACATTGAGCTCCCAAAAGAAAAGGGGAAAAAAAAAAAGAAGAAGAACACCTGAAGAAATTAAGCACACCTTTCACGAGTCCACGTCCTACCTGTGTGAAATCTTGAACAGCGGCCTCGAGCTTCCCTTGCAGAGCAAGTGCCGTCCCTCGTGTAACTAATGCGCTTGCAAACCTTGGTACCTTTTCAAGTAGCTGGTGTGACAGGAGACAACACATTTCATAGATTACTGTCAGGAGCGGAAAAAAAAAAAAAAAAAAAAAAAAAGCAATTGGTTCAAACTTCAAACTTCAAAGTGAACTCCTTTAAGCAAACAACTGACTACATGCCACAGGTTCACAGGTGGTGTGGAAGGGATGTAGATGTTGGGAGGGTTGACAGGGGAGGTGGCGAAGGCAAATGGGGGGAGGGAGAGGGGGAGGGGGAGGGGGTGCTCAGCAGGCCATGGAATAGCACAGGCATGAGAAAGGCAAGGAGGTGGAGGATGTGGTGGGTGAAGGCAAAGAAACAAGACTGTACCTCAATACCTGCGGTCTTTTGTAGGGATGCTCAGCTTGAGAGTTCTGAGTGTACCAGTGTTTAGTTGACAGGTACTGGGTTGCAGGGTTGATGATTGGTGCTCTGTAAGACAAGAATGTCATTAAGGGTTAAGGCCGGCATAGTAGAACATTTGAAAGCAGGCACTATCGCCTTCCCATGAAGATAACGCATCCTGATTCTGAATGTATACAAGCCATCTTTCCGGATGGAGGCAGTCATAATCAAAGGTGTGGGAGGGCACTCTCTTTCTGCATCTGGAGTGCGAATATGCTGGTCGGTTCGAGTGGGCTCAGTGGGATATAGGTCCGGAATGAATTCTGAGACACCCGTAAAGCAGTCTGGCAGCAACCCTGCCCGACGACCCTCAGACATCAAAGAAGCAATGCTCAAGGCAATGGCGAGGACAATCTCCTTGTGCACACCAATTGCATTATTGCACAGAGTAATTGGATTGAGGAAATACTTTCTCTTTCTTTTTTTTTATTAAAATTTACAACTCATTGTTCAGGTAAATCGCTTCCACGGTTCCACCCAATAAAAGTCGAGCTTTAGACCCGTGCCGTTTTCTCCTACAATGGTGTGGAAAATATCACTATGATAACCAACATGGTCAAGACTGAAGCCACCCTCGACAAGGGTTCGAAGATGCTGGAAAATATAATGCGCAAGTGGGAGTCGCTGAAGAAGTTGATCTCCCGAATACCCCTCGAATTCAGAAGTGCCACCCAGTTTGATGTGCACGCATGGTCAGGGTCACACTCTTCCCAGGTCTTCCAGCCGTAAACTCCACTCGGTGTATCAAAACAAACGCCCTCAGGTACCCTCTCGCAGGGAGATGCTGGTCGCTGCTCTATTACTGCCGCTGAGACATTTGGCTCATGGATTACAAGCGAAAAACTGGTAGACATGAGAATGCCTCCTTTCATTGATAATAAGTTTGAAAAGGTGCACTGATGAAGGCAACCAGGGGTGTTCCTTGTTCCATGACAGCAATGAATCGTAGAACAGTGCTGAATTAGCAAAGTGTTGGTAGTTCTGTCGACCAATTTTTCCATAGAAAAGCTTGTATTCTAGTTCTCGTGATATAGAGCTCTGCTTCCGACACTCGTCTTAGAGCTTAGCTGCAGCACATTGTTCTTAACTTTTCGTTTCTATTTAGGGCTCCTGTTTGTGACGTAAACTCCACTTGGCACTTCTGCAACTTTTATGGCAAGCAGCTTTCGAGTCTATCACCTTCATGTATATCAAGCCATGCTCTCTCTCTCTCTCTTTCTC